AAATAATTGTGCTTTCAAAACCGGTGCCCGAAGACCCATGCACGTCTTTTTCTGGCGTGGTGGGATTGAAGATTTTTTTTTTGCCTCGGTGTGATTCAACACTATCCGTGCACGCTTTTCTCTAGCATGGCGGGAGGCCCAAACTCCTGAAATTTCCCCTAAACGAGGAAGACGTCGGGAGGCTGTCAAAATTTTGTCTGAAGAAGACAATGACTTGAACTCTAAAGGATAGCAGGGGACATGTGTTGAGCTCAAGTGAATATTAAACAAATGACATTGGACTTAAACTTTAATTAAAGCCCAAAATGAAACTCATGAATCAAAAAAATGATTCAATCAAAGACAAGTAAATTAAAAAGGGACTCATGTATGAGTTAGTTACAAACTTTTGCATGAAATTTTTTTGGAACGATAACAATTAAGTCGTAATAATAATCTTATAATTGGAATGCAAATGAATGAAGATATCAATCTTATCCTACACATTGAATCATCTTTCAAGACAGAATTTGCAAGTATACTTTGTTTGCAAGAACAAGAGATATGGGAGATTTGGCTCGATCACAAAGCCATGATATGAGGCTTTCAGATCATGATGATTTACTTGTAACATTAAGCATAACTCACCCCTAAGTAACAATCAACTAAAAATGGGGTATGTCATGAATACAAGCAATATAGTGATTGAAGATAATTGGATGGATAGCACATTCATCAATGGGATGTGAGAAACATATGATGAAAGGGACACTTGTGTTGAACACTGTCAAATAATTGACACAAAATATGTAGTGAAATTACCATCCATAAATAAATTCTTTGTGAACCACAACTTACTTTCGAAGATAATAAAGGGCTTGTGATCCTTAGCATCATTCGCTCACAGGCTATGATTGCAAATGAAGACTAATAACACAAGTTTATCACACTTCTTGCAAGTCGCGTTTGAGGACAAGGGGTTGGCAAATAAGGTTGATTCGCAAACAACAAGAATATGTTGGAGGATATGGCAACCCACCTAAAAGTCATCAAGTGAAGCCTTTGACGAATGTCATAGTTAACTTATGGAAAGCATGCCAATCAAAAGGAACCATTTGAAGGTAGCAACAAGAAGTTATAACTAGTAGAGGCATAAAAGGATCGTCATACCCATAGACAAAAGGGAGAAACCGCCACGAGGTAGAATTGAATTACCGTCAACAGTAATTAATAAGGGGGATGGTGCATTAATTCAATGCCACCTTGCTTCCTTCAAGTACATTAAACCTGTGCAAGTGATGATAGCGAATATACAATGAATGTGGATTCAGAAGAGCATACTGAAATGTATGCAATTGAAGAAAAGAGATGTGTTGCAGATATGACGGATATAAGGCATTTACAAGCAGATAGATGAGAGCACTCACTCACACAGAAGCCCAATCACAGGAGACGATGGACAATATACAGTAGATGCCAATCCGTCTCATAATTCGTGACCAATTGATATCTGTCAAAAGCATTGATTCCTATCAACCAAAAGGATCTGAAATGCAATAATATGATGATGTGACACATTTAGAGGCGTTCAAGTGAATAATAACACACTACAGTGCGCTCATCGAAGTTAATGACCCATGTTTGACAAATGTATTGTTAAAGATTAATGCAAAGTTTGGTAGCCCAAACTCACAACTACAAATAGAAAATACATCTATCATTCCAATCATCTCAAGGGCTGCAACAATCATTTTAGGAATGAATATCTCATATACTTCTATACGACGCGAGGTGCCTTCAATCACTAAAAGGTCAACTCTAGGCAGTTGTTGTTGATTTCAATGCGCAAGACATCAACAAGAGTACAATCATCCAAGGTTGAGACGATTGATATTTTTTTATTTAAGCCAACAACAGAAGATGATGATGATGGAATAATCAAGGAGTTGCCCACTAATTCCTATACGAGTTCTGGGAAGAGAAAGCCAGATCAAATCATTATGGAGTGAGTGAATCTTAGTTCAACCAGGTTCTGAATATTGAGTTGGATAAGATTATTGAGGCTTGCAAGTTTCTTGATGAACAATTGTCGTGCATCCGACATACCTCCTACGAACGAATATTGAAGTACTACAACAAACACAAATTTCTATGAGTTGTCATAAAAGACTTGTCAAATGTCCAAAATGCCCCCGTACATGCACCGTAGTTTGTATACACATAGGTACACAAGGGGCAAGTGCAATCATAAACCCCGTATGGGCCTCGACGAGCATGTTATAAGTACACATGTAACGTCTAGGGATGCTGTGTGAGTAAATAAGTGAATTCAAGTTTGAACCCGATCCTTCTATGTGGATCAATAGGAGTCGACAGGGTTCAAACAATCAAACAAATATACGGTGGTGGCGATAGGTATATTTGTCTTAATACATTCATATTAAGCCTTCAAGGCCTATAACAATAAGAATTTACTAATAAAAACACAGCCTATGACGAACCCGATCCTCTGTCGACAGCCGGACAGAGTCGACAAGGTTTAGTCAGTAAATGATCCCATATACTTCCGATGATGGCCGTGTCTAATGTTTATCTCAACAGGAGGGAGGGGTTCACAAATTGATGTGAAACCAGGAATTATTTGCGAGTATTAATAAATAAATTGTTGAGCAATGATAAATTAAATCTTAATACTTCACGCAAATAAGCTCAAAGAAGTTCTTATGAATAAGCTACGCATAAGCAATCAATCACAAACTAAAGTTAGGGCATCCTTTAAAATAACAACAAATATAAAGTAATGAAATGACTAGTTCAACATAATCCACGGGTTAACAAAGTGATGTGTTCACCTTGAGCTCAAATAGTAACTCTCACTCAAGTTGGTAGGGTTTGACGGAGAAACAAGATCAACACACTTAGTGATGCCACCAATGGAAAGTAGAAGCCTCAGGTAGTAATCATTGAAATGGTAGCCAAAGTAGGAGGTGTAGGTGGATGATTGATAACGTACCAGCGGCCCGGAAGGATGTGCTATTCAATTGAAAGGATCACTTGATATAAAATGCGGTCCACGTATTCTTCCACCGAGTTGTCAAAGTTCGGATTGAAATCGAGGGAAGTGGATTGAAGGAAGTCGGTCCGTCCGTGGAATCTTCTACGAATCCGGGATCAATCTCCAAACGACCATTCATGCTTGCCTTGATTGGGGAGCAATGAAGATTGAGTAATGGGAATGAGTGGGAGCGACAGTTTGGAGGGAGGTGATGGAGTCCGGCTGTGAGAGGAAGAGGGAGAGGGGTTGGGCAAGAGGGACGGATTGGTTGGGTTAGTAAGGTGGAGAGAGGTAAAATTAAATTCAAATTTCACTAAGGGAGGGAGAGGGGTTAAATTTGAATTTCAAAATTATCCAAAATAAGCAATAAGGGGTCGGCGGATTGATGGGGTATTAGTGGGAATTAATGATGATTGGAATTTAAATTGGAGAGAATAAATGCTTAATAAGGGGTCAGCCATATAGGGAGGAGATGGGGGTTTCATTTTAAGTGTGTGCGATCACTTGATATAAAATACGGTCTACGTATTCTTACACCGAGTTGTCAAAGTCCGAATTGAAATCGAGGGAAATGGATTGAACGAAGTCGGTCCGTCTGTGGAATCTTCTACGAATCCGGGATCAATCTCTGAATCGGCCATTCATGCTTGCCTTAAGTGGGGAGCAATGAAGATTGAGTGATGGGAAGGAGTGGGAGCGGCGGTTTGGAGGGAGGTGATGGGGTCCGGCCGTGAAAGGAAGAGGGAGAGGGGTTGGGCAAAAGAGGGGCGGATTGTGATAAAAGAAAATTTTCAAATCCTATTCTCATTTGAATTAAGAACATCCATGAATGAGCATAAAATTGCAAAGTTGACAAATATCTTTTATTTTATATTTACATTAAGCCTTTAAATCCTTTCATGAGAAACTTAATTAGAAAATATTAAACATAAATTTATCTCCTTAAATAAACATCCATCCCAAATCCACAAGATCTCTTTGGACGAAACTACAGATAGTTGCCAATAAGAATGCTTCAATCAAATTCAACCGACTATCTCCTCATTTTAAGCAAGCTAGAGTCCATGATAACCCAGGATGATGAAATCATGCAATAACTAACCATGATCTAAATTTCTCTATCATCGCTAGGAGGATAATTAATCATAAGAACTAGCACCTATGGGAAACCTAAAGCTAAATCTTAAAATACTTATAAAATGAAGATGAAAACTCTAGGTAGTATCTCATCTGCAATCCAATCTTGTGATTGGAACAAAAGATCTTGGAGAAAAATAGAGCAGGCTAAAAAACCAAATATATGCAAATTTTAAGGGCAGTTACAATGTTGAAGAGTAAAAATAAAGACTAAGCGATGTGTCTGCAACTCAGATTATTCCTTTGTTCAGTTTTTCAAATTAAATTCCACAAGCATTTCTTCAGAAAAGAGGAAAGAAAAATTATAAAAACGTTCATCAGTAATTAACTTAAAAGTACCGATGGGTTACAAAATTATTCACCATAAGATTTTATATGCACAACTATTATCTCTATTTTATAAATACGCTCACTTTCTGTTATTTAAGAAATATTTAAATCTTAAGAATGTTGTTATTATTTTTCACTCCAAATTCCCCGCACCAAAATTAGGAATTTCAATACCATAGCATTTCTTATAACATTACAATTGCATGAAAATTCAACTAGAAAATTGTAAAAAAAAAATCACAAAAATAGTCAGAATCTTAATATGAATTCAGATGCTTCCAGTAAATTCCGAAAAGATGAACGCAATCTATTCAATTTGACTATAAATATTCAACCTGGACAACATTATAATAAAAAAACCACAAATTTATGGGTAAAATTTTTAAACTTAAAGCAAATTAAAGATGTGTTCTGAACTAAGGAAACAATTGAAAAACATAAATAATACAAAATCATCTGTTATTAAATCATAACAAAGAGCGATGGAACCTTAACATACCTCCCAACGATTCTTACAGCAGCCAAAATGTCATCTCCTTTCCTATGACAATGATCCTAAAAGGAAAATAAATAATCACATGTAAATGGGTCTCGCAACAACTTTGTATTTTAAAAAGAAATTACTCTTAAGATTGAGACCTGATGGTATATAGTTAAAGGCACGATAAAGTCATGTTTATGAACAAATGACCACACGGCTATTTGGTCCAATATTTTCTTTGATGTAATTTATAAGAAGAGATATTTGGTTTTATGTTATCTGGCACTAATGCAGTCTAAATAATATTAGAAGCTAACATTCAGGTAATTCTGTTTATTGCTTGATTCACGGATATTTCATTGTTATGTAATGCTATTAAGAGAAATCAAGTGTTTTTTTTTTAATAGATATTTTTAAACAAAATTAAAAAGCAGCTATATTTCCTATTTTGTGGGATCTAAATGTCACTGAAACATCTAAGGCCATGACAATTTCCCTTGCTTGCATGCTTCACTTCTTCTAGCACATTCGTGTTCATCAACAAATTTCCACGAAAAAATCATCCAGCGCTTCCCACTGCGTCAGCTCCCCTATCATCCAGCCCCTCCAAGCAATGCGAGCCTCTTTCAGCTCATATGTAAAATTCAAAATGCACCAGCTAGACAAAAGGAAGAACAGAGAGAGCGAGTGAGCTACGAAGGGATCAAAGCACTTTAATTCTTACTGCTCCTCAGCTTCCAAACCTTCCAGCACTTGAATAATCCATTTCCCCATCTTCCCCCACTACTTCTCTCTCCCTCCCTCCCATCTCAGATGTAAAATTGTCACTTATTTTCATCTTGGAGCAGTTTTTGATGTGGCACTCAAATGTAGTTGTTTACACAACTACCTCAACTTGTAATACAACCATCCAAATCGCGAAAAATACAACAAAATCCTAAGCAGCATTTTTCTCTTTCATCAAATAATCAGAGTTAGTCATGGCATAAGCAAACGTACAGGTTCAGCAATTTACTTTTTTGGGTGGGTATTACTTTTGTAAAAAATAACGTTTCGAGTAGCATCCGCACAATCTTCACTTTTCTTTAAAGAGTAATCTTACTAGATGTGTACCTGAATCCAAGCTATGCTCAATATTTGTCATGACTCAGCCCAGATGCTCGATCTAACGAGACGGGTATGAAAAGTCAAACAATAAATTTCATTAAACATTTTATTACTTCTTCATTTATACTGAATAGTGTTGAGACTTGTTAATCATGAATTAGGTTGTTAGACATAAGTTTATATCACAGCGGCTAACCAAGAGGGGGTGAATTGGTAATTTAAAAAAAAAAAATCCCTCTTAAAATTTTAAACCGATTCAAACTTTTTTAATGAAGTTTTTGAAAAAGATTTTTCAACCACAAATCACACAGAAACAGTAAAGTAAATAAGCAGCGAAAAATAAAAAGACACAAGATTTATAGTGGTTCAGTCAAACACGACCTACATCCACTCCCTGAAGTCTCCCACTTCAAGTATTGCACTATTACCAATTAGTGTCTCTCCTTTTGCCCCCACAGCAAGGCGGAGAAGCATTCACAAAAACTCTCTTCCACCACTACCCGGTACGGCAGAGAACCGTCGTCCTTTTACACCCTCCAAGTGTAGGCAGAGTACCTCACGCTGTTCACACTCTCCAAGTGTAGGTAGAGAACCTTTCGTCCTTTCACACTCTCCAAGTGTGGGCAGAGAACCCTTCGCCCTTTCACACTTCTCCAAGTGTAGGCAGAGAACCCTTCGTTCTTTCACACTTCTCCAAGTCTAGGCAAAGAACATTCCCGCTGTTCACACTCCTCGAGTGTCGGCAGAAAATCGGATCTCCTTGACAAGATCTTCACACGAGAAATTTGGAAGGACAAAAGAAAAGAGTGAAGTAATAACAATTCACAAATGAAGATCCTTACCTTTGAGTATCAAGTGAACACTTCACGCTACAGCAGTAAGAAATCTCCTTCAAACACTCTCTCACACTCTCTCCTTCAATCTTTCTTTAGTTTGCACGAAGACCAATGGAAAAAAAGATTACAAGACAATTTTAATTGGACCTTTTATACGAAAGACATGAAAAACCATCCAAAAACTATAATTTTTTAATTATGTACGTACTCGATTGTCCCGTACGATCGTAATTTGTACGTACAAACAGTGCAAAAATTGTTGCGTGCGAACTCAATGTGCATTGGTACGAAATGACTTCATACCCTATCATCGCCCCGTACGAACATAGTTCGTCCGGTACGAACAGTTATTTCCAGACTTCGTTGGATCGTTGGAAGATACCTGCAGGACAGTCCAAAAGTTTAAGGAACAGAGGACATCGTCCTGGGACGAAGGTATAACTTCGTCTGGACGATTAGTTCAAGTCATGTGTTCAGAGAACATCGTCCTGAGACGATTGGAACAATTCGTCTTGACGATTAATTAAGTCATGGATTCAGAGGACATCGTCCTGGGACGAATAGAACATTTCGTCTGGACAAACAGTACAAAGTGAGAATCCAAAGGACATCGTCCAGGGACGAATGGGACATTTTGTTTGGACGAACAGTACAAAGTGAGAATCCAGATGACATCTGTTGACCTGCTGAAATGAAACAAAAAAAAGAGAAATTTCAAATCTTACCTACTCCCCGTCGAGGCCACGACGCACGTCGTGCGTTCGCACGTCGCGCACGACTTCCTCCCACGTCGCTGGCAAATCGATGTCTCTTCACGCACGATCGATCTCGATGTTAAAATGAGACCGAGCTCCCATTTGCGCTGGCTCCCTCTCTCTTGCTCATCCCCGATCGCTCTTCCTCTCCCGACTCCACTTCCTATAGGATCGGAAGTTACCTACTTTGATCGAAAGCAACAAGCCGGGCTCGCTTCTCCGGCCCCTCCGACGCCGTTAGACTTCGCTCTTCCACGACATTCCCTTCCTCTTTAGATCGGAAGTCACGACATTTTGAGCGGAGGCAAGAACAGGAGTCGCTCGCTGTGAAGGAACTTTCTACCTTTCGTGCGCTTCTTCTCCCCCTCCCGACGCCGTCCCCTGCCTGTCGGATCGGAAGTTACTACATTTTGATCGGAAAGCAACAGGGAGCTCGCTAGAAGTGAAGGTAACTTTCTCCCTGCTCGCGCGCTTCTCCGGCCAAATCCCATAAATCCACCGAACAGAGGGATTTAGAAAATTCGGGATTTAAACTGTAAGTCCTTAAATCCAGGATTTACCCATAGTTGGGATTTAACGTGCACACAAAAATCGTTTAGCTGGATTTAGCGTAGATCCGACTTAATTCCCGCTGTAATCTCCGGCCAAATCCCGTAATCCTGTAGAGCCGATGGATTAATAATAAATTTTATTTTAATTAAAATTAATTTTCATTAATTACAATTAATTTTTTTATTAATTATAATCATTTTAATTAATTATCGTTATCATAATTAATTTTAATTTAATTAATTATAATTAATTGTAATAAATTTTAATTTTAATTGTAATTAATTATTATTAATTAGTTATAATTAATTAAATTTAATTACTATTAATTAATTATGATTAATAAAAAATCATAATTAATTATGTTAATTAAATATAAATTGTTGTACGGGTACTGCTGAAGGCCCAATACACGCTCTTGTAGCGTGGTAGGAAGAAAATTACTACGGCCGCGGTGTCTTAGGACACCTACCATACACGCTCTAGTAGCGTGGTGGGAAGGCCCAGCTCCCCATTTTCTCCCAAACGGGGGATATGCCGGGGTGCTGCCAAAATTTTTACTAAAGTACATAAAGCTTGAACAATTTGAAGACCTTCTTGGGCAACAATATAGAAGACCTGTACACGAACAAAAATACACATAAATTGAACTAAATGAGCAAACTTGTATGAAGAACAGTGAACTTGTGGACCAAAGTCTGAACAAAAATTTAAATGATTTTAAATGTCAAAATCCAAATGAAATAAAATCAAGCCAAAACTGAAATTCAAACCAAATTGAATATACAATTGAACTCAAAAGATTCCAGAAGACTTTGAACAAGCATTTGAACTTGTTCTTGGAACTTGAACTCGCACTCAGGACCCAAGTTGACGTTGATGGCTTGAACAATTTGAACTCAAGCAAATACAAGATTTGGGCTGTAGGGGACATTTGAACCTGATGAATTCAGATCTAGATGGATTTGAACTTGAACAATTATTTACACTTGGAACTTCTAAGAAATCAACTAAGTTCATGCTACAAGGAATTAAACTCAAGGTGGTAAGAAGATTTGAGCAAAATATCAAAGACTCAACTTGAATCCAAATAAGACAAGTGCAAGAAGATTGAACAACAAGAACTTTAAAGAATTCAACTCATATGTCATGATTTCGGGTCTCTGAATTGATGACTACACGAAGCTGCTAAAGATGCGAGGTCCCTAGCGACAAAGTCTACACTATTGGATAAACAATGATGAACAAAAAAGGGAAAGGTCATTGCATGTGAAAAATGATAACCCACACATCATTGGAAGGGATTGGGGTACATCAAATGTGGTGATGTTCGTGAATAATTGTACATGACATGGTACCCTCACATCTTTAATTAATCCGAAGGGAAAATCATACTAAATATGACCCATCCCTACAAACAAACACAAACCACTTGAGGATAACAACAGTGGGCATATCGTAAGCACATCGAGCCACTGTGGGCACAAGTACGGAGATTGGTGAAAGTATACTGGCAAACAAAGTCAAATAAACTATACTGGCAAACAACAGTAACAAGTTATAGAGTTCATATACGACTGCCATATGTGCTAATATAATCTCCAATATAAACAAGTGCCTGTAGATTGAAGAGGGAAAAAGTGTCAATTGATGGTGGAAGACCCGTCCCTACAAATAAATACACCAAAACACCCACCTGAGATTGGTGAAAGGTGGATGTGATACAAAAATAATGACCCTCCTACGAACACTTCTAGAAGGTCGTAGGGGATGCGACGGTCCCCTGTAAATGGATACTTGTGGATAACAACAATGTATTGTAAGTAC